GAAACTCCGACGAAACAGTTTGTCACAGCCCCTCGTTTGTTGTCCTCTTCTCCCTCTCTGCCTACGGTTTACCGGGCAGTTCTATTTGACGATATATATATATATAGAGAGAGAGAGAGAGAGAGACCCCTAACTAACTTCATCGCCCCCCAAAATGACGACGACGACGATCAAGTGTAGTATATGTTCCGATCAGTTTGATATCTGACCCGTGGACCATCGGGAGTGCGCGCGTGCAGCAGAGCGACGCAGAGAGAGAGAGAGAGAGAGAGAGAGAGAGAGAGAGTTCAAACTAACTATCCCGCCCCCCAAAACGACGATGACGATGATGATCACAACGATGACGATCCAGTGTAGTATCTGTTCCGATCAGTTTGACATCTGACCTGTAAACCATTCGGAGATCTTAAAAAAAGAAAAACACTGAAAAACAGCGTGCGTGCGCGCGCGCACACACACACACACACACAGAGAGAGGTAGGGAGAGAGAGAGAGAGAGAACCCAAGACCTCATGAATGCCACTTGCGTGCCATACCAGCTAAGGTATGCCGCTGGATTTCAGTCTAGAGTCGGGGGAAGACAGTAGTCGGGGGAAGACAGTAGGGGTGGACATAGGATGCCGATTTTCAAAGCCAGCTGTTGCAGAACCTCCCCAACTAGCAGGAGGTGCTGCACACACATTGCCATAGCTGTTAGGGTACAACCCCCCACTGGACCATGAGTCTAAAAACACCCCTGACCACCACCCCAAAACCCATCGAACCCACCACCCCGACTCATTTCTCCCGTTTCCCCCTCAATCCCTTGCGAGGGAAGCCGCAACAGGTACCCTTGTCCATATTCAAAGTCGACTAGTGTGATATATTGCACCAGTCGGACTCTGAGCAGGTCAGCCTGCCGATTAAAGACTGCAGCGAAAGGGATGAGTGACAAGTTACTGGAAGTGGTAAACAGATGAAATCAGCGGTAAATTGTGTACCGGTTTGTGATCTCCGAGCGGGGTGCTGCCTGGATGTTTGAGGGCAGGCATAAATGACAGGTTGGCACTATTTGATCCTGCAGGGCCCCCAAGGCTAAACATTTCTATGGTTTCCTTGGCTGGACTTAGTTTCTTCCTGGCCTTCTCCAAGAGGGACCGCCCTGCACCAGACACCTGGCATCAATACATCCATATGGTGTCTTATCCGGATGGCTGGATGGTAACCGTGCTCGGCCTTCTTTTTTTAGGCTCCCCGCTCTAACTCTTCAGCACAACCCTCCCCTTACCGACCCACATAAGAGGCAAAGGACTTGGAAAGTGAGGGATTCAACTGTGAAGGGGTAATTCATAAAACAATTTTGAGGGCAAGAGGGACAGCCCTGAACCTGGCACTGGCATCGATACATCCAGACCCTGTCTTATCCTGATAGCTCTGTATGGTAACCAGACTTCGCCGCCTTTTCCTAGGTTCCTCGCTCAACTCTCCAGCACACTCCTCCCCTTACCGACCTGCATAAGAGGCCAAGGGTTGGGAAAGTGAGGGGTTGGACTGTGAAGGAGTAATTCACAAAACAATTCTGGGGGCATGAGACCCAAGGAGGTATCCAAGAGTAGAGAATAACGACTATGCTAGTCCCTTCTCGACTCTTTAGGCCGAACAGAGGATGAGGCAGCCAGTATATTAGGGCCCTCCGGGAAAGGGAGCAAATCACATTTTGAGTCCCCTGCAGAACCGACCGACCACCTGGGTGAATTTTCATTTTTGTGGGAACCCTCTCTTTTGCATATTTCAGTTTATCCTCGAGTAGCACACTGTTTTGGATACTTTTTATGTTAAACTGTTCTTATTTTCTGAATGTGAACAGGAAGTTATGAAAGGCTCATTTCAGCTGATCACCTATTTTTCTCCCCTTGTTCTTGCTATTTTGCTCGTCATGTGCCGCAGTCGCTTGTTCTTAAGCACCAAACCGGCCTCGCCTCCATGGCGTTAAGATGTCCTCTGCTTAGGGACGTTGACCTCAGTAACTGCGATGCGCTCACCAATGCTGTCTTCGACGTCTTCAGTGATTTAGAAGCTTGCCCGTTACTCTCTTTGCTGGTGCTTGACAGTTGTGAGGTATGTATCTGTTGGATCCTGGACTGTGTCCATGTCAGCAGACGTCTACTTTTCACTGTTGCTCCCCTACTCTAGTCTTGTCCTGTGTCTATTCTTCGTGGCTTTCTCACCCAGGAAAGTACTGGTTTTACTTTTCACTGTTGCTCACCTACTCTAGTCTCGTCCTGTTATTGTTCTTTGTGGCTTTTCTCGCCAGGAGAGTAAATGGTTTTTTACCGCAGAGATGTCATGAAAATGTTGCAGTAGGTGTTGATTGGCGATCACAAAAGTACATGCCTCAGGGGAACGAAATGGAAACTTCTGTGAAAGTTCTTGTGTGGCCAATTGTGTCATCTTCTGGAGGCTTGGAGTCCTGCATTTGAGACAAGTTTTTGTGCTTGCTTGTGTGCAGGGTCTGACAGAAGTGAAGCTCTCGTCTTGTAAATTATCCTCTTTATCATTGGTCGGCTGCCGAAACATTGCATCTATTGACCTCTCATGTCAATCGCTGGGTGCTCTTCATCTCGACGGTTGTGATCGGCTAACTGAAGCTAGGTTTTCCCCAGTGAGTACATTCTCTTATGAACTTGTCCAAATTTTTTCATTGTCATGCATAGAACCTGGGAACTTGTGTCCATTCACAACTACGAAGAGATGAGCTCAATTAGGGCAGGTTTAAACTTCAACCAAGTTTATGGAAGAAGTAAGCTTTTAAGTGATTCATATACAAGTGTTGTCAATTCCCCTTCTTATCACCATTCTGGAACCAGTTACTCCCAATTCCAGGAACTTCCAACACAGCTGGATCTGACGATGCCAAGGGTGATGGTGACCATTAAAAACCTGTACTACCTGGATCCTCAGTCTCCCGATCCTTGTGTTCTGTTCTCCCTCCCTATTTCTGAACAGCCGTTCTCCTACATAGCCTGTTAGCCGCCACCCATGTAGGGGCTGCTTGATGTCCCATACCCTTAGCGCCACTGACTTCCAGCCACTATACGCCTTTTATGTAGTGCCACTGCCCATGGGAGTGTCAAGAACACGCCAGAGGGGGTGGAACCCTGGTGGGGATAGCAAGTGAGAGTGTCACAAGAATGCCGGGGGGGTGGAACCTTGGCTAGAGCTTCACGAACATGCCAGGAGGGATCAAGGTTGTTTTCTAAACCTTGGGCTGCTTCTCTTAGAGAAGTGCTAAAGCATCAGCCAAAGAGAGACTTAAGCAGCGGGGAGAAACCGTTCATTTCCAACATGTTGGAAGTGCGCAACTCCCGGCAGAAAGAGGAGTGCAGTAAAGTTTCATCCCAGCAGTACTACCCTCCTAGTGAAGACTTGCCTCGACGTGAATCAAAAGCTTGCCACACTTTTTTGTAATACACTTGGTTGTTGTGTGAGACGATAACCTTTCAACTCCTTCCCTCAGGAAATTTGGAATTGGGTGAAATATGTATCTTGTCAATGTATGAAGACATGCCGTAGAGACTATGTGTGGCATACCGATACCACACGGGCCCCAGTTAGGGCCCGGTTCTGTAGAAGGCACGGTTCAGGCCTAGTTACCGGGTCACGACGGGCCCAGTTTAGGTCCAGGTAGGCCTAGGACCCGTCGGTTCAGTTTAGGATCCGGTAGGCCTCGTTTAGACCCCACCAGACCCAACGGCTAGTTTAGGCCAGGTACCGGTTCATGGGTAGGCCCAGCCGGCGGCACAGTTTGGCGCCCATTTTCTGATTCCGAAATCGGATTTGAACCGCTGGGCCTGGTCAACGGTCCAGACCCGAAGGACCTCAGTAGGACTGAGGCCGACCCAGCACTATATCAGCTGGGTACCAGCCTCAGTCGGTAGGTTAGAGTGGATGGGAGGTTAGTCTTCAGGATTAGCGCGGCGTTTCAGCGTTAGTAGAATTAGCGCAGCGCTGCAGCATTACGAGGAGCAGTGAGGAGAGGAGCTCAGCGGCAGAGAGGGATTAGCGCAGCATTGGGAGCAGCGCCAGGTACCGGCCCAGCCTGCGGCCCAGCGCCAGCCCGTGCAGCGCCATAGCTACCGTGACAGGTACCAGGGAGAAAGGCTTTGGCTTCTCTCCCTCATCTTCCTCCACTGCTCTCTCTCTCTCTCTCTCTCTCTCTCTCTCTCTCTCTCTCTCTCCTCCTACCTTCTCAGTCTAAGTCTACTCCTGGGTTCTCCTACGGGATTACCTGTATGAAGGATGGTCACGAGTTCTGATAACATTGGAGACAGCGACATTGGGACTATAGGTTGAGGACTACTCGTGGGATCTGATTTCATCTTCCTCTGGAGATGTACTTGACATTGTGAGATCGATATCTGAGACATCGTGAGACACTGTGTTCATGACATTTCGGTTTTTTGCTACCTCTGACATTACTATCTTTGGAAACATTGAGTTGACGTCATCTTCCCGCTCCTTCTCCCTTCGTCTGTCTCCTCTCTCAATTCGTCTGTGGATTATCTCAGACCCTGGCCTTTCGTCTATGTCCAAGGCCAGGGCTTTCACACCCCCGATGTATGATTGAGAGTGTTTGATTGCAGTCTGAGTCAGGTCAGAGTCAGTCCATGTATCTCAAGTCTTCCACTGTATTTGTATTAACTCTGTATATCTGGTCGGTTCTGGGAATCTGCGCCATACTTTTGACTGTGTTTCACGAGGATGCAACACTATGTGCCAGGGAGCTTATGTATGCAGAGAAGTGAACGAGTTCCTGTGGTTTTTCGTATGTTTGTCTGTGCGGGCTTTGGTCCGTGGCTAATGAGGCTGGGTTGGGTGTGGGCTCTTGTGTTAACAGGTGGGATTGCAGAGTCTGAACTTGGGCATTTGCCCGCACTTGGCATCTCTGGTACTTAATGCTCCTGAGATGACTGTGCTGGACCTTCGTGGCTGTGGCACACTGAAGGAGGCTCACATAACATGTCCAAAGCTGACTTCCCTGGACGCGTCGTACTGCAGGTAAGGGATGCCGCCACTGTAGGCAGAGGGCTTACATGATGGGAGTTATGACAGGTGACATGGGTCTTTGTTGCGTTACATGCTACTTTATTAACGTGTGGACCCGTAAGATTTACGAAAAATGATCACAGTTGTTTTTCAGACGGAGCATCATCTTCTAATTTCTGTGGGTAGTTTTGTCTGCTGTGGTAACGGTTCTCCCTTGAATGATATTTCTGACATATAAATTTTGTCTCAAGAGGCAGAGCATGGAAGCTAGTTATGTTCTTCCAGCAGCCAAAGAACACATGGAATCGCAACGTCATCCATAGGGATGGAAAGATCTTGCTCCCAGGAGTATCTTGAGAAATCATTTGAAGCACATGGCTATTGTCATGTACAGGTTCATTCAGAAGATATAGCTTGCAACAACGTAGGACCCGATGGTTTCTTGTGCATCGTTCAAATGCTTGGAAGTGAACTGGGAAAGTTTTTGTTTGCAGTGCCCTGACATGATATAGTGGGGAGGATTGGCTGGCCCTCAACCTATAATCTGACGACTGACAGGGTCTGTGTGTGGTTGTCTGTTGTGTGGTACTGTTTTCATGGAGAGGTTGGGTTGGTGTGTATTTTGTGCATGTGTCAATGTGGCTATCTGTTGGAGATGGTGATATGTGTGCTTGTGTTCTATCCCGTTCGGGAGTGTGCTTGGCGCCGGTGATCGTGTGTGTTTGGCCTGTCTGTGCCTCTGCCAGTCGTTTGGGAGACGAAATGCTGGCCGCAACTGCGAGTGCGTGCTTGTCACTGCAGACCCTGGTTCTGGCTGCCTGTCCAGCAATTGGAGCTGCAGGGTTGCTTGCTCTGAAGGGTCTTCCGGCGCTGAACACGCTTGACCTGTCTTACACGGAGATACAGGATCTGTCGCCTGTTTTTGAAGCGTGCCCACAAATAAGAGTGCGTTCTTCGATCGGTACTCCAGTCTCTATCCGAGTTCCAAGTTGCACTGTAGAGAAAACAGCTTCCCACTAAAATAGGGGCCCGAGGTGCGCACTTGTTTCCAGAGGATGATCACAAACAAGCTGATTTGTCTCTGGGAGCTTGCATCATCGGTTGAGATAGCAGGATTTTGCGGCTTTGGTGGCGCTGGTCTTCTCATGGGCTTTTTCACCATAAGTCCTGGTATTTTCTGGTTCTGGTTCTGTCCCTTCGTCAACATTGTTCGTCAACATTGTTTGCCTTGCATAATTGCTCCGTCCTGTCCAGCTGACCCATTCTATTGGACGAAGCCTTCGAGATCTGACGACCTGAAGATTGGCTGGTCACTTATGGATGGATAGTGTAAAAAGTGTAATGGGGTTGGGATTGGAGGGAAATGGTTGATCGGGAAGGGAGAGTAGGGTCGTGGACAAAAGGGCTCGGCTAAGGAGAATGATTGGAGAGTGGAATACCCCATGTGGGAGGGGAACCATTGTCGTATAAATGCAGGGGAGAGGTTGGGATGGTGGAGAAATGAGGATGAGGATTGTTGAACAGAATGGAGGGTCACAGTATGGACGATGTGGTTGGTGTGTGAATGAAGTGGGGTCATGCTAACCAAACTGTGAGGGCGAAGAGAGGGGGATAGTAAAAGTGAAGTGTATAGCAGGAAGGGCAGGGACGAGATATAGGGAGGGCCACTCGTGCCAATAGGGAATGGTTGGAGAGTGGAATAGCCCTCTGGGGCGGGGAGCATGGTCGTGAAAATGGAGGGGAGCTAACAGTACTTGTGCGAGAACGGATGGTTAGTCAAAATATCGATGGCCGAATGTGGTATGCAAGTGATGGGAAACGGGGAGGGTATGGAGGAGGGGGAGCCAGTGGGCTTGTGTGTGTGTGTGGGCTGTGTCAGGAGGGTGGTTGGAGCATGGAGGGAGGAGGGAGAGAGAGAGAGAGAGAGAGAGAGAGAGAGAGAGTGAGAGAGAGAGAGATCACTGATGAGTGGGGGAGGGGTTCTCATGCAGTGAGTTGCAAGCTGGGAAGAGAATAAGCTGCAATGGCCATTTGGAAGTGCGGCAAGGGATGCCTGGGCGATGGGAGATTGGCATGTGGTCAAATGGTGGGCTCCGTATGTAGGCCCTACGGCAGAGTTGCGCAGGCCAACTGTTGGCTGGTAGGCACCTACCAGTCGGCAGTCAGCAGCAGTCAGCAGCACCCGCAAAAAAAAGAATCTTTTTTTCTTTTTTTTTTTGGGAGTCCATAACCCCCAACAACCCCCATACCCCCCCAACACCCC